AYTAAWYCWYYGMWRTTWRCACRMTWAGCTGTCATTGRAMTACWSRCAKYTMKTACRTKTTWASAWMRTAGAGCAGYCTTAGCTGAATMRTMTAAWGCACATGTGMCAAGAAAATAWATTCAGCWCGTTGSTTATTCGCCATTTATAATGAAATATTAATCTTGGGATCTGGTCCTACCTCAAATAAGTTCCAGTTAATGTTCAGCCTTTTTGAATCTGCCTCCAGCATAATGCCCAAGTTCTAACAACAGCAACTAGAGGCAATAGGAAGGGACTGTCACTTCAGACTGACCACAGGTTCTTTGAACAAATTAATAAATTACAAGAATGCAAATAGAAGGCTAGGCTAGGCTAAACAAGATAAAAGATTTCTTTCCTTGGACTTGTTTTTAATTTATTTTTAAATGTATTATCATATATACTCAAGTGTAAGCTGACTTTTTCAGCCCTTTTTTTAGACAGAAAAGCCCCCCTCGAGTCAAAGTTATTTATTATTTTACTCTGTCATTATTATTTTTATTACATTTATTATTTTACTCTATTATTATTATTATTACACTTACATTATTTTTCTCTATTATTATTGCATATTATTTTACTCTATTATTGTTATTATTACATTTATTATTTTGCTCTCAATATTGGAAGGATACATATGCACATTTACATTGAAATAGGTTAGAATAATGTTTCAATCAGAGTTGGACAGTTTTATCTTAAATTACACTTTTATGTAAATATTCAAAAACATTTAACCTACAGATGCCTCAATGAATGTAATTTTATTGGTATCTATTTTTATTTTGAAATTTACCAGTAGCTGCTGCATTTCCCACTCTCAGCTTATACTCATTTTCTCAGTTTTTTGTGGTAAAATTGGATGCCTCGGCTTATATTAGGGTCGGCTTATACTCAAGTATATATGGTATATGACTCTATAATTGTTTTTACATTGTGTGGTGTGTATTTTTATTTTTACTGTTTTTGGAATCTTTTGTGATTTGCTGCTAATAAAGATGCCAGAGATAATTTACTATGTAATTTCGATTACTTCATACGCTCTGTCCCCATAAACATTGTGATCAGATTTAGAATTGTTCCACAGTGCTTTGTTCTCTGCAATTCTGTTTCTGAACTAAATTGGGATAATTTAACCAATCTAAGGCTGATATATATTGGTAAGAATCAGCAGAATCTTGTTTTTTTACTCCTGATTTGATCTAATCAGGTGATCAATGTACGAACTAAAGCAGTGGTTCTCAGCCTGTGGATCTCAGATGTTTTGGCCTTCAGCTCCAGAAATCCTAACACCTGGCAAACTGGCTGGGATTTCTGGGAGTTGTAGATCAAAACAGGTTGAGAACCACGGAACTAAAGGAAACCTTACAAAGGTGTTTTTTATTATTTGTTGCTGAATTGTCTTTAATATGTTTTGACTTTTTCTAGGAATTTAAATTTAGGAGACACGAAATCTCATACTTTGTCAGGACAGGAGAGTGAGAGCAGTGGAGAAGTAGAATCATCTGCAATAGAGGCAGATCAAGAAGCCTTGGAAGGAGACAACCGGTAATTTTAAAATCCAGTAGCATTATTTTTAAATTAGTCTTGTGAATGCATTATACTTGGCAGGCTGAAGGTATCATTCTCAAGAATATTCCCCCAAATCATTTCAAGGAATTTATTTGGTGGATATTTTCCCATCTTTGGTAATTCTATGAGGTTGATACTAGATACTTCTGTTTTCTTATGTTTTTATTCTCTACAAAAGGCCTTTCTACCAAATGGAGGCTAAAACTAGAATAGCTTCATCCTCAGCAAATCTGGAAATAGTTTGTCAGACTGCAGGGAGAAGTGGTTTATACATTTGGAATAAATGGCATTAAATGAGGTTTCTCAGTGTTGCACAGATCAGAATGATGAGATAGATTATAGCCATCCAGCTGAATTGCCATTACATGACAAACATCTTTATCTATTCTTGCAGTTCTGAAAAGGAGATTCCAGAGACCTCTTGGAGTGATTCATTGACTGTAAACCCTATACCAGGAATTGAAGTTGCTGAAGTAGCTTATGCAGCTGATTGATGAGATGTAAACAACAACACCAGCTGCTTTTACGACAGTACAAAAATCAATGAATCACGATACCTAGAACATGTTGAACAAAAGCATAGAATGCTATAAAGCAGAAGACATTGAGGCACAAACTTGAATGTTTACATAGACCAACCTTGGATAAGGCTTTGGCATAGGAAGGATAATCAGCGCTGCATTGACTCAGCTGTTATCTAGACTTTATAGATATATATTAATAATATATTAAAAGCTCTGGTTAAGGCCAGGTCAAGTTATGCCTAGAACCTGAAGTTATATGTATCAGTTATAATTTGTCAATATGTAAACCCTGTATATCATATGTGTAGATACCAATCATGTTTGTTTACCATTTGGCATGTTGTATATCACATATTTGCTCCTAATACAATGCACCTTTTTCTATGGGCAGCTTTTGGTATCTGGTTTTTCAGGTTCTTTATATAAGCATATAATGTTACCCAATGGGAACTCTGTATTTCAGGCTTAAGAGGATGCACCTGTTGTGTTTTTTAATGTTTAAGTGTAACTAATGGACATGTAAATGTTAATGCAATAAGCTAGGAAAGCTCACAGTACCAAAATAATATTTCAAGAATGGGAACATGACAGAAGGGAGATAATCTTGGAGGAATAAGTTATAGAACTCACACTGTGGATGTTCACCTTCACTTGAAAATAATGTAAAAGTTGATGAAAATACTAAACTGTTTTTTTAAAAAAAAAAATCCATTATACTTTTGCCACATGATCACAGAATCAAGAACTCTGCCTTATATAAAGAACACTACCTCTTTGTTGCTAATGCATAAGTGCGTTCTTTCACATACATATATTATATAGAGAAAATGTGTGTTGTTAAGCCATACCTCTGCACAATTAATTAACTTGGTTAAGTCTATTTGCAATGTATGTGTTTAGAATATTACACATGAATGTGCTACAATTAGTTCTGTAGCTCATTTCTCTTCAAATTGTGTGAAGTCCAGTGATGCACTTTATAATTAAAAAAAACTTCTCATGCCAAAGTCATTGTCTTTATTGTGACTTGAGCTTTTGGACTTGGAGAAGATGAACACGGTTTGCACATCAGTGCCTCTTTGTGTTTTGTTTGATATAGATGTTTGCTATAATAGCGTGGGTCGGCTTTATGGAACCTTCAAGACCATTCTGCCCAGCAGTTGTTTGCTGAAAGTGCCTTTTTGTCTGTTCTTCTAGTGGAGAGAATACTGCTTTTCTTCATCTCTGTGCCACCTACTTCTTTGTTGGTATGCTGTTAACACAGAGTTTCTATGTGTTCCGAGGTTTCAATGCTCACTTTGTTTTTTGAGGAGTAATGACAAAGATCTCTGTAGAACCATCTGGGGAAACCATCTGTGGAAAATAAATCTTTGGTCATAATGGAAATTTGTCTTTCTCTCTTCTGTCAAACAATATAGTCAGTTCAAAGTTTATAGAGTCCACAGGCAACTGACTCATTGGTTCAAGCAATTGCCATGGTCAGTAGTCATGTGCATTTGGGACTTAACTTGATTTCTTTTGTGTTCCGGCTTTCGGTGGGTGCCCCGATCCCTTTTCTTCTGAGCCTCCCAAAATCGGGAGGTCAGATATTTGTCTTTCGTTTTCAGAGCTGAAAGATCTGTTTTCTTTCAGCACATTATTGAGGAGGGGACTTCACCTGTAGGCCCAAAGCACTTGGGCCTACACACCTGGGGCTAGCAGGGCCTGCAGCCGAGCACCGAGTAAGGAGCACTTCTCACTTGGCGTTCGGCTACAGGCCCTGCCAGGCCCCACGCAATCGATCCGAAAAGCAGGCCCACCTTCCTTTCATATCAGTTGCATTTTTGTTTCAGGGGGGACCTTTTCGTTTCATGCCATCCAAATGGACGGAATGAAACAGAAACTTAAATGAAACGAATGGGACAAATTTTAGGCCCATGACTAGTGGTCAGTGAAATATTAATATTTCCTTTAAATACATATTGGGTGTGATTAAGACTTCCTGTGAGAAGGATTCTCCTGACAGGATGCTTCACTGAATAAAGGAGGGAAGTGATCTGTCAACAGGTCACTTAAACATGCAATCGAACAATAGTTACATTTGTCCATGTTGCAGAATAGAAGCAAGTTCTTAGGATTCACTCAGTCTGCAAATTACGTTATTACTTTTTAAAAAATCATATTTTGGACATTCAAGCATAAGAACTATGTCAGAGCTCACCAAAGGCCTACCTAATCAGATATTTTGTGGCCTCAGTATCCAACCATAAGTCTATTGCAGGCATGAACAAACTTCAGCCCTTCAGGTGTTTTGGATTTCAACTCCAAGAAATACCAACCAGCTTGCCAGATATTAGGAATTGTGGAAGTTCAAAACACCTGGAAGGCCGAAGTTTGCCCATGCCTGGTCTATGGGAAACCCTTTTTGCAAGACATTATTAGTGTATTGGGTCCCTTATGTCAGGCTTCCCAGCAGCTGATAAACAAAGGTATACTGTTTCTGATGTTGGAGAAGATATATAGCCCATCTGAGTAGTATCATCAATGACTCCGTCCTTCATGAATTGATTGTACCTCCTTTAAAACCACCCACGTTGGCAGCTTTAACTATATATTGTGACAGTAAATTCTACAGTTTATGGGTTATGTGAAAAAGCGCTTCCTTTTATCTATCCTGAATCTTCTATCATTTAGCTTCAACAGATTTTAGCATTTCTGAGTTCTGCTATTACCAAGAGAGGGGAAAATGCTGCCTGTCTACTTTCTCCGTATGATGCATAATTCATAAACCTCTGTTATATCTCCATTTACTTGTCCTTTTCCAAGTGAAGCGCCCACAAAGGACATAACATTTCCTTACAGGGCAGTTTCTGGTCCTTGAACATTTTGGTTGCCATTTTTTTGCTCTTTCCTTGCTAAAGTGAAATAATCCTCTGAACTGAACACAGTTTTCTAGAAGTTGAATACTGTTAACAGGGCAGTATGATATCAGCAGTTGTCTTTCCAATTTTGCTTCTTTTTTCCAGCAAGTGATCTCTGGCTTTACTTTTTCATTGCATTTCTCACAACACTAGGATTCCTTTCTTGGTCAAGTTTTGCAAGCTCAGACCTCATCAAGATATTAACATGGTGGGGGGGGGGGGCTAACCCAGCATTAATCATTTTACATTTTTATTCTCATCACCAGTTATCACAGATATAAACCAGATTAAAATATATCAGTTAGAACAGAATTCACAAATTTTACAAAAAAAGCAGTAGTTAAAAAAACAGTCTGCATATGTTATATGACAAATAGCTTTTCTTAACATACACGTCAAGTCCAAGGCCCATAAGCCAAATTTGGCCCACTATCTCATTTTATATGGCTCTCAAGTCTTTCAATGCCAGGGCAACATAGTTAAATTTATACAGTCTTACAATTATAAATGGCCTTTGAAGGCAGCCATAAGGCTGAAGTGGCCCTTGATGAAAATGAGTTTAATACCTCTGCCTTAACAGAACTATTATACGAGCAAATAAAAATATCTACTGAAGGAGACTTGATCACATGTTCTAAAAGAGACTGAGGTGCCTTCTCACATATCCTAGTCAACTTACATCAAGTCTGTGTTGAGACACTAGGAAGAACTCAGACCAATCTTAAGAGGTGGGCAGGATGTTCTGTTGCCCCCTCATGCAACCTCTTCTAACCTGTTGTCTCGATGCTGCTTGAGGGATTATGGAAATTATAGTTCAATACATGTGGGAAACCTCGAAAAGAAGCAGACCAGGCTATACTCATTCTTCCCCCATTACTGCAGCAGGTCTTAAATATTAAAATAAGGCAAAGTTGTGTTCACACAACCAGCAATAAATTTGGCAGTACTCCTGCCCATTTATGTGGGACAAAATGCAGCATTGCTGAAACTGGGTCAGGAATAAAAGGAGTGCTTTGCTGAGCCGTAAAACAGGACAGACAGCCTGCCCTTGGGTGCACCCGCAAGGGCTGTATTACTGGATTTGAAAATCTTAACACATATGTTCTAGATTGAATGTGTCTCTTCAAGCTTCCTTTATTATGGTATGTGCATGTTGTGACTTCCATATCACAAATTATTTTTAAACAACTACTTAACAAAAGTATATGCCTTTTGGCTAAATTAACTGTAATTATGGGGTGAATATCCCTTATCTGAAATGCTTAGACTTGGACATTTTTTGGATTTTGGAATACCGGTATTTACATATACAGTAGAGTCTCACTTATCCAACCTTTGCTCATCTAACATTCTTTATTATCCAACACAGTCTTCCTCCCGCCTGGATCCATTGCTATTTCAATACATTGCAATGTTTTGGTGCTAAATTTGTAAATACAGTAATTACTACATAACGTTACTGTGTATTGAACTGCTTTTTCTGTCAATTTGTTGTAAAATAGGATGCTTTGGTGCTTAATTTGTAAAATCATAACGTAGTTTGACATTTAATAGGCGTTTCTTTAATCCCTCCTTATTATCCAACATTTTTGCTAATCTAACGTTCTGCCAGCCTGTTTATGTTGGATAAGCGAGACTCTATTGTCCATATATAATGAGATCTCTTGGAGATGGGACCCAATCTAAATGGGAAACTAATTTTTCATAAACATATTTGGTAATTGAAGTTAATCAGATAACTTTTGTACATGAAATATGAACTATTAGGAAGCAAAGGTATCACTATCACAGCAAACCATGAGGACAATTTTGGATTTGGGAGCATTTCCGGATGAAGGCTGCTCAACCTGCACTGAAATGCTATAATGGAAAGTGGGACCAAATGGGCGTTTTGTGATATATTGGAAAGTGAGATTTACTGTTTCCATGCAGCAGGATCCATGTTTCCATATGGAATCTATCACAACTTTACATGATGTTGCCTATTCATAATTAGTTTAGATTCTGATGGCCTCTTAGAAACTTTGGTCATGTTTATAACATAGCAATTCAACAAAAATTGTAAAAATTCAACCACCACTTCTGGTTTGCTTCAGATGCCTTTATAGATTGTTAAAATTAATAAAGCATAAGCCAATGATTGTTCTGAAATACAATTGTGGTACTCGTGAAGTTTTTCCTTTTGAAGGCCTAAAACTTGAAACTGACCCTTTATTTTTTTTAAAAAAAGATTATAGCTCTAGAAGCCAATTAAAAATGTTCCAGCACAACTAATGAGGGAATGAATCTCAAAGGAAGGATTCAAACATGTAGCGTCATAAACTCCTTGCTTTCACTGTGGAAGATTCATGCACTTCAACATTTCCCCGTTAAATAAGATGTCAAGTACCTTTCTTCCAAGGATAATTGGATGATAATTTCCAGGGAAGGCCAAACTAGAAATTGCTAGAAACTGTAACACTAATATGTTGCTTCTGTCAGTCTCCAGCTGGAGAAAGAGAAGGGAGAAAGACCTGTAAAGCTGCCTTGCCAAAGATCAGCAATTTCTTCTCCCCTTGCTCCATAAAAGCAACTACAGACTCAAAGTGTATAGTTGGAAATAGGAAAAATGAATAGGATATGGATAAAGAAATCCAAACGTTGTTTTGTATTGCGATTGCAGGTTTACTGGAAGAAGAACACCCTGAAGTCTGGGAAATTTTAAAGAAGCTGTAGAAAGGAGGAACAGAAACCCAAAAGAAGCATTACTGTTTGAGAGAACAAGGAAATCAATTGTGCATTACCTCTGCAGACATGCATTAAATGGTGCCTTTATTTGCTTCCCAGAACAATTATCTGAAGACAGAAAACATTTATTATCAAAACACTGGTGCATTGTTGGAGTTAGATTTATGACCTGGTTTTACAGTATTATCATTACTTTTAAAAATGTGTGTGTGTCAGAATGACTTAGTTTTGAACTTATGTCTAAAAATGTTTATGCAGAAATTTTGATTCCTTTTTGATCCTGTGAATTATGTGTAACCTTAGAATCAGAGTTGAAAAAGTTCCACTGCTGAACAGCCTCCACCACACTCTGGGGCAGAGAGTTCCACTCCTGAACAGCTCTTACAGTTAGGAAGTTCTTCCTACTGTCCAGGTGGACTCTACTTCCCTGTAGTTTGAAGCCAATGTTCCACATCCTAGTCTCCAGGGCAGCAGAAAACAAGTTTGCTCCCTCCTCCCTATGACTTCTCCTCACATATTTATACATGGCCCTCATCATGTCCCCTCTCAGCCTTCTCTTCTTCAGGCCCAGCTCTTTAAGCCGCTCCTCATAGGGCTTATTCTCCAGACTCTTGGTCATTTTTGTCGCCCTCCTCTGGACACATTCCAGCTTGTCAACATCTCCCTTCAGTTGTGGTGCCCATAATTGGACACAGTGTGATTTCAGGTGTGGTCTGACCAAGGCAGAATAGACAGGTAGCATGACTACATTTTTTCTAGTTCTCACTCATGAGTTGAAGAAAAGATGTCAAGATTATTTTATGCACTATGTTTGTGGCACCTTCAACACATTTTTATATCTTAAACTTTTGTAATCCATAGTCCACTTCCATTGGTTTATGTAATAAACTAACTTCTTAATGGCTCATGGTGATATACAGACATGCTTATATGGAATTCTAATCAATCTCAATGACTGAGCATTTGGAAAAAGTGAGTGCTAATTCTGCAGTCACTAAAATGTAATACGAAGCATGTCTTGCTTTTCTGGACAAATACTCCAGTGCTAAGAACAAATGCAGACTGACATCCATTCATGTGGTTTTGGTTGCATTTGGCCACAATCATGGAGATGGCTTTCTCCAATTTTAGGATCTATTTTGCAGAATTCCATAGAAGCTGAAAATTATTTATGATGATAGACATATCACAAATGGATGGAACTTTGAAGTTGCAAGAAAGAGAAAATTAGCATCATTAGTCATGCAAAAGTTTATCCATGGTATCACAATTGGTACATTTTTCGTTAAGGAATCTGAAATCTTTTGCTACTGGTTGCTTATCATATAACATTGGAGCTATCACTCTATATTAGGATTTTTCCACTACCGATTTCTGGAGACTGGCAATTGTATTGTAGTTAAATGCCTGCCAGTGGAACTAAGGTAATTACATGGAATTGATTAGTACACCATGTTGCTGTTGTATCTTGCATGCTATTTATTATACCTGCCAGCAATCATACATTCCAGTATTTCCTGATGTTGATTTTCCCCCTTCCATATCTGCTAATGATTCAAAGTGTTCTCCTCCTAGCTACATATATACTTTCTGAGTAAAAATCAGCACAACAGAACATTTGGCTTGATTTGAAACTTACCCGGATCTACAGTCTGGCAGTTGCATTTTCTATGTATTGCAAAATTAGATTCCAAAGCCACTTGAATCAAGATTCTGCCATAAAATATGGAGAGAGTAAAACTGGTGGTGGTTGATCATTCCCAGTAGTGCTTAGTTATGCTTGCTCTTTGAGATTTTTTTGGGCTACTTCAGAAGACAGTATCCCCTAGTCTTATTTGGGTTACTAAAGTTTAATGAACCCTTCAATTTGATGTGGTGTCCTAATCCCTCTGCTCCCATTTTCAGCATTTCCTCATGGGAAAATTTCTAGCTTTTCACTTTGTGCCATTGGGTGAGTTTCATATGTTAGAAAACTAGAACCTGGGACTTCCCTTACCATCTTTTGTCTCCACTCAACAATGGATTAGATTCAGGTAAAGTTATTCCCTTTTTGTCCACTTAAATCCATGAGAAGTCATGAATAGCTTTTAATGGTACTTCAGTTCAATTAATTCAGTGGTTCTCAACCTGTTGGTCCCCAGGTGTTTTGGCCTACAATTCCCAGAAATCCCATCCAGTTTACCAGCTGCTAGGATTTCTGGGAGCTGAAAGGCAAAACATCTAGGGACCCACAGGTGGAGATCCACTGGGTTAATTTATAACATGCCTGCACAACCTGTGGCCCTCCAGGTGTTTGCGACTCCAACTCCCTGAAGCTCTAGCCAGCTTGTCAAATGGTCAGGAATTAAGTCCAAAGCACCTGAAAGGCAACAACTTGTGCAAGCCTGATTTATAACATAGTTGTATTTGTTTCAGATCAGAAATAAACCTATTGAGTTCACTAAGTTTCAATTCCCAGTGTTTTGTGCATGAAATTGCAGCAGCAACCTGTATCCAGTCCGAGATACTTTGCAACCAATGCTGTACAATGGAGAAATAAGCATGACATAATTAATAATTTGAGTGTTGCACTAGGACACTGTGAGATCAGGGTTTGAATCTCCAGTCACGAAACCCACTGGGTGGCCTTGGGGAAGTCATGTTCTCTCATCCTCAGAGAAAGGTCAAGGCAAATATCCTGTGAATAAATTCTGCCAATGAAACCTCATGATAGGTTCACCTTGGGTCAGACATGACTTGAGGACAGACAACAACAATAATGTTCTTATATTCATGGAACAGGGAGAATAGAAAAGAAAGAAAAGTCAAATGATCGTTAGTTGATTTGCTAACTGCCTTCAAGTCAGCTTTGACTTATGGTGATGTTATGAATAAGAGACCTCCAAATCACCCTATTTACAACAAACCCACTCAGGTCTTACAGATTCAGGACTCCGGCTTCTCTAGTCTATCTGTCTGAAATATGCTCTTCCTCTTTTCCTTCTGCCATCCACTTTACTAAGCATTATTGTCTTTTCTAATGAGTCATCTCTTGTCCAGAGTTTTTATAGCAAGTGAATGATATAATGCTATAGTTTTATCCTTGCTGATGCTATAATTGAAGACTGATGGGAAAGCTAAAATCAAATAGGCATTGATAGGATTTCTATTAATAAAAGAACTGTTTCCATTTCAAATCTTTATTGTTCATAAAGTACTTCCTCTCCTATAGTTTAAAAATATTCATGTTTTCTACAAGGGTTGAATGAAAAGTAATGCCTCCTCAACAGATGGCAGTACTGGTATGTGGCAGGTACTGGTTTGTTCAGTAGACTCTCCTCTACAGTTCCATTTGGCAGGAAGCCTTAGCATTGATCAGTTATATTGTTAAAGTGCGAAGTATGGAACCCTTCGCAGATGGTCGGTCAATGCAACTTAAGCAATGTGCAGTCATTGAATTCTTGGCAGCAGAAGGTGTCACCCCAAAGGAATTTATCAGAGAATGCAAGCTTCCTTTATGGTGATGTTGTTAATGTAAGTACTGTGTGTTGTTGGGCGAGAAAGTTTAAAGATGTTGAGGTGGGAACGTCTGACTTGCATGACAAACAAAGAGTTGGGCATCCTGTGGCAGCAACCACTGAGTTTCACAAGCAAAAGGTTGACAGACTGATTCAGGACGATTGTCCTATCACTCAGAGAGAAATTTCAAGCATAATTGGCATTTCACAAGAGCGTGTGGGTCACATTATTGCTTTGCTTGGCTATCGGAAGATCTGTGCATAATGGTTACCCAGGCTGCCGATGCCTGAAATGAAAGCATACAGACTTGAAAGTTCAGAGACTGGATCTCATCACCATACGACATCCTTCATACTGTCCAGATTTAGCACCGTCTGACTTCCCTCTGTTCTCAATAATGAAAGAAGATCTGTGGGGACATCATTATGCTTCTGATGAAAATGTTGAGAGAACTGTAAGATGCTGGTTGCGGAAACAGAGCATCAACTTCTTCCGTGATGGCTTCAGAAAACTTGTTCATCATTGGCAGAAATGTATCCAATTGTCTGGTGATTATGGGGAAAAGTGAATAGTGGTAGTTAAAGAGCACATTCTAAGGATTATTTCTGTGTTTGATTTATTAAACTATTCCCATTCAAACCCAAGTAACGAAGGTGGAGGCATTACTTTTCATTCAACTCTCGTAAGTTCAAGCAAAACATGTTTTTTGGTCTGACTTCCAGATGCCATTGGGACTGCAGTATATATCCTGAGCTGGCAGCCTTCATAAAGGACGGGAAGCTGTGTTGAGACTCCTACTTCCACTGCTTTTTTAAAAAGATATTTTATTATGTTATAAACACAAATCAATAAGCCAAATTCCAAGTGTTACACATATAAATCCTGAGTAATTCAACAAATATTAAAGACATTATGCTAATTTACACTGGTGTAGATTACATTATCTCCACCTTCCCTCCCTCTCCCTCTTCCTACTTCCATGCTTTAATGCACAAAGTATATTGTAGCTTTCAGAATAATATGTACATTTGGAATAGGAAAGACCCCCATATGCCATCGAATCCAACATATACACACACTCAATAAAGGAAATCTAACTAGCACATCCCCAGCAGGAAGCTGTCTAGCATCTTTTTGGAAAATGTCCACAGAAAGAGATTCTACCATCTCTCTAGCAAAATGTCAACAAAGGATTGCATAGTTTACACATCCATTGAAGCAGAAACCTAGTCAACAATGAAATTGCAGCCAGGTTTGAGCAGGACTGCTAACTTAAAGAACTGCCCCATGCCTCCCACCATGTAGTAGTCATTGTAAAAGCCACAGGGGTTTGGTTTCAGGAGCCCCAGTGCATACTAAAATCTTGGATGCTTAAGTTCATTATATACAATAGCATAATAACATGACATCCCTTATTTTAAAAAAATTAGTGAAATCAGCATTTACATTTGGGGGGGATTTTCAAGCTGTGGATAGTGGAATCCACAGGATACAACGGGCAGACTATACCTATTAGGAAAAGCATGTTAGGGAAACAGTAGAGACTGAGAGCTTCAAGCTGCTTGAATAGTTGAGTTCAAAGCTCCACCTAGAGGCTAGGACTGTAACTAGCCTTTTATGGCTACTAGCAGGGTGTCCATTCTGTTATTATCAGATATTCTGAAGCAAGTTTGTAGAGTTTTGTGCTCTAGATATATTAGTTCCATGTACATCAGCACACTGCAGTTGAAATGAATTATATCAATTTATCATAATAAATCAAAGAAATATTAAGTTCCAGCTACAATTTTATGAGAGCTGAGTTTGGTTATTTGGGAAAGTGCGGCTAATATTGGTTTTTACATATTTATCATCTCTCACCCCACCAGGGTTCACAGTCAATGTACAATGGATCTAAGTAATTTTAGAAATGCATGAATAAAAACGGCTGAAATTATTTATCATGGTATATATTGTGTAACTTTATGGATACTCAGTTGTGTAGCAGGAACCTTGTTAGTATATTTCTGAGAGGCATAATACCAGCAAGAGTGTCATGATGTGCTCTACTGGTGCCCCAGTGCACATCACTCCCATTGTGAATCAATTCAGTTGAACATCTGTTCCAATGTGCAATAGTCACTTGCGGCAATGTAATAATGGGCATTTGCCGAAGTAGCACTGTGAAACTACTCAATTTTATTTCCCACATATGTAATCCAAGTTAATTCAGATAGAGAGTGCATGTCGTGGATATAAATTCTGATTTAAGTAGAAAAAACACCAATGGCTGGAAAAACAAAGTAAAGGCTATATTGTGGGAATTTCAATCTAAGACAAAATTGACTCAAATTGCTAATCTAATCTAACTTAATTATAGGGAATATCTGGAGGACAACAGCTTTATAAACAAGCACCTTGGTATCCCTACGGATGTCCTGATTCTCAAACACCCTCTCCTTCATTTGGAAAAATGCTGCACTCACAGAGCTCAGGTGGTGTTGTATTTCAATGTCAATGTTGACTTTTGTGGAAAGATGGCTGCCAAGGCCGTAGAAATTGTCGACATTTCCTAATTTTACACCATTAAACTGTATTTCTGGCATTGCAGAGGGATTGGCAGGTGCCTTCTAGAAGAGCACTTTGGTTTTCTCAATGTGCAATGAGAGGCTGAGTTTCTCATATGCTTCTGCAAAGGTTTTTAGAGTACCTTGTAGATTTTTTTCTAAATGCACACAGACTATGTTATCATCATCATATTGGAGTTATATAAAGTGTTGTTGTGACCTTGCTTTTGGCTTTCAGTCTGCTGAGGTCAAATAGTTTGCCATCTGTCCGATAGATGATTTCCATCTGGTGGGAAACTTCCTATCAAAAAGATGAAGTATTATAGCAATGAAGAGCGTAAATTGTAGGGGTGATAATGAAATATGATGTATATGCTCAGCTTGATCAGTTTATCAGTTTTATCATGGTTTATCATATGTATTTACTGTATTATTATAAGTGTCTTATTTTAACTTTCTACGTGGAGTGTGGTCAGGTCTTGTCAAGCCTTGTTGTTCTGTTTCTTATTGTGATATGGCCTAAGGGCTAATCAATAAAATTACTACTACTATAGCAATGAAGATGGAGAATAAGGTTGGAGCAATAATACATCCCTGTAGAGATGTTCAATGTATTGTCGAAGGCTTTCATGGTTGGAATCACTAGGTTCTTGTGGGTTTTTTCGGGCTATAGAGCCATGTTCTAGAGGCATTTCTCCTGACGTTTCGCCTGCATCTATGGCAAGCATCCTCAGAGGTTGTGACC